TTGGGGGCAGAGGCCCGCCTGGCCTGTAGCCCACCAATGTGCAAATAATGAGAGTAACTCATAATAAAATAGTTGCTTTTATTTCTTAGCAAAACTAGTAATTCGACATGCTATTTACAACAGGGCAAATGTGTTTTTATTTCAAGTGCAACAAAATGGACCAGACATCAAAAAAACAACTTCTGCTGCTTGTTTGTACAGGACTGGACATCACAAATTGAAGAAACTTGCACACTCTAGAACTGATGTCAGTGGAAAATTCTCACGCGTGCAAACTGCCCCGTCAGCCTCTGGTGCTCCCCCAGGTCGACCCCTCCGGCAGGCAGCTCTGGATGGTCATGAATGGTCACAAGCAGGTCTACTGAAACATGCTGAAGGCCAACCCCACCCCCCACCCCTTGGAGGGTCCCTGGGCTCTGGGTGCGGGTGATGTTCACGGGACTCCCTGGGGCCAACCACCTGCCCAGAAGTGGAGGGCGAGCGTGCGTCCTCTCTGTCCCAGGTGGTCCCCTTTGAGCAACGGGGGTCAGGGTAGCCAGGAGGAAAAAGGGTCTCGGGAGCTGGCGAGAGGCCAGGGGATGTGGGGATGTGTCTGCCCACCTCTCCCTTCCCCTGGCTTCCCACGGTCCACCCCACCTTCCCTGGGCTGCCCTCCCAGTTAGGAAACGGGTTTTTCCCACCACCACCACAATGGGAGGCAGATTCCCTCTCCTATGGGGCCGGCCTGATTCAAGGGCAGAACTGGAGGCACCCTCTCCGCCCCGCCGGGAAGCCTGACACGAGAGACGTGGGAGGGCGAGGGAATAGGGATTATTGAGGGGGTGGGTCTTGGTTGCCACACCCAACTTCTGGTCTCTCCCCTAATTCTTTTTGGCAGCTTCTTTCTGCCAGTGCTATGAAACGGGGGCTTCTTCTCAAGAGTCCTGCCAAACAGGGTGGGAGGGGGGACCCAGAGCTCCCAAGGAGTCGCGATGCAACCGGCACTTTCACCGGAAGCTGCCGCCCTGGGACCGGAGGGCTCGTGGCTCGCCCTGCTCTGCTCTTGCGAAGGCCTCTTGCCTCACTTCCTTTGGGGCTCCTAAAGGGCCTGGGGGGGGGGGGGATGGGGTCACGCGTTGGCCCAGCGGGCCCCCCTCAGTTGGGGGGCGGGAAAAGGGCGGTCCCCTTTCCCCCAGGGGGGGGCAGCGGTCTGAAAAGGAAGGGGGGCTGGCTGCCCCCCAAGCACCGAACCGTGGGACCGTTCACCAGGTGGGGGAGATTGACTGCTCCTGAATCATGCAAGAACCCAGATTTATGTCAGAAACACCGAGTGGCCAAGTTTCTTTTGGGGGGGGGGGGGGGGGGGAAGCGGTTGCCGCCGCCTTCACTAGAAAACTTTGGGGTGCTTCATGATCAGCAGGTTCTCCAGGTAATTCTCCAGGTCCTCGTCGCGGGCTCGGAGGTCGTAGTAGCCATCCCGTGGCCCCAGGGGGCCCGGCAGGTGGTGGTAGTGGTGGTAGACGGGGGTTTGGAAAGTCCGGGGGTCGATGTGGTTGGAGAGCTTGGCGCTTCTGTCCTTGGCCTGGTACCGCTTGGGCAGCGGGAACGCCTTCCCGTCCCACACTTCGTTCCAGGCGGCCTCCTCCTGCTTGGGGGGCAGGTGGCGGTACGGTGGGAAGGCCCTGGGCATGGGGCGGGCCTCTTGGCGAGCGCTGGGGTGAGGGGGGGCCTTCTTGGAGGGTTTGCTGTGGGGCGGGGCCACGGGCAGCTTGCCCCTCCCTGGGCTGGGCTCCGGCTCCTTCTTCTTCTCCACGTGGTTAATGATATCAATGACGTCATCGGCAGGCAGGTGCAGCTTGCTGGACAGCTCGATCAGGCGGTCAATGGTGTTCGGGTCGATGTCTTCCTCCTCCTCCTCTTCCTCCTCCTCCTCCGGGGTCTCGTTGGACCGCTTGTCTTCGGCCACATTGTCCTCCCCGTCTCCAAAGAGGAGGGAGGCCGCCTTGCCCGCTCCTCCTTCGGACTCCTCCTGGGCAGCCGCCCCTCGCTGCCCCTGGTCCGCGTCGGCGTCTTCTTCGCCATCCTTCAGCAAGTACTGAAGGAGCAGATCGGAGGCCATGTCTGCCAGGCGCTCTTCCTCGGCGGCAGCCCGGCGGGCCTCCTCCGCCTGCCTCCGGCTCTCGGCCAGCTCCTCGTAGCGGCGCTGCAAGAGCTGGTGTTCCAGATGCTGCTGCTGCCTCAGCTTCCGGGCTCCGTCCCAGGACTCCTGGGCGGGAGGCGCCTTGCGCTTAATGTTGAACTTGAGTTGCTGGTACTCTTCCAGTTCCTTGAGCACGTCGTCGGGGTGGGGGCCTTGGGGAGGTTCGGTAGGGGGCATTTGGTACCTGTAGGAAGGTTCCTCTCGCTTGTTGGTGGGGCTGTAGTGTTGCAGCTCCTTCAGCATGGACTTCAGGTTGTCCATCTCCGGCTGGTCAACCATCCTTTCCTGTGCCAACTCCTCTTGTGGCGGTTGGTCTCCGTCCTTCTTGGGTGGCCAACCCGGCATGCTCTCTGGCTCTACATCGGAGCTCCTGGCCTCACTCTGGACTCGTTCCTCGTTGGCACCGGGCTCGGGGCTTAGGGGTGACTCCTTGGAGTCCTGGGGTGCAATCTGCAGTGCTTGCAGGAGGACAGCGGCCAGGGCCTTGGGGTCCACGTCTTGGAAGAGTTCCTCCCTGCTGCCCTTCTGCTTCCCAGCGCCCGGCCATTCTTGGTTGGACTCTTCTGGAGCTTCATCCCACTGGCCCTCCAACCCGGGAGGAAGAGGGGCAGCCAGGTGGAGATGGCACTGCACCAAGAGGCAGAGAAGAAGGATCCACATCCCTCTGTGGAGAGGCTGGGCCCAAAGCATTATGATGCACCCCTGAACGATCTGGGGGGAGGGGAGAGAGAGAGAGAGAGAGAGAGAGACAAAGGGTCAAGGTCAGAGCTTGAGCGTCCCAGGAGCAATGGAAACACGTACGACCTCCAGAACCGTTTGGCAGAAGGAGCTGGCTGGGGGGAGGCGAAATCCCCCGTTAGCTGCTGGACTGTTTTGGGAGGGGGAATTCTTGGCCAACTGCCCAGCACATGGGTCGCAAAGTGACTCGGGGTGGGTGGATCTGCTCCTTGCAGATGGGCCCGCTGACCAGCACTCTCCCTGGGCTCCTTTGGCCTGAAGGCGTCCTGGTGGGCCCCCTGGCTGGGGCAGGAGGGCTCCAAGGGGACCCTCAAGAACGATCCCAGAGCAGCTGCCTCTGGAGAGAGCCACAGTCTTCACCCTCCCTGCGCCACGGAGGGACATTGCCTCCACCACCACCACCCCCCCACCCCCCACCCCCTGCGAGTCTGCACTCACACCTCCTGCCTTCTCCACAGAGCATCTTCGGGGACGGGGGGGGGGGGGGGTCCTCCTTTGAAACGAATTACTACCATTGATGCTCCTTGCCAACTCACCCCAATCGCTCACTTGTTCAGCCCAATCCTCTGGGAGTGGACTTGTCCCCCCCCCTCCCCCCATAACGAAACCCTCTTTTCATAGAATGGGCTTCTCGTGTGCCTCACCTGGTTCGGGTGGGGGTGGGGCGGTGATGGCATGTGATGCTTCTGTCTCTGCTCCCTTCCGATTTTGGAAGGAGCGGCTCCTGCTTCCCTTGGCTCAATTATCGCCGCCCCCCCCC